ATAAGGAAAAAATTACTTCTGAAGGGTCTTACACAACCGTAAGATGTCAGCAACAACATCCTGTCTTGCCTGGGATATCTCAGTCACTTACTGTCTCATGTAACCTAGCAGATTACAACAAATTGCTGACAGCTTTGCAGATCAACTGCACAGAAACAATGCACTTGATTAAGGTGCTGAATCCAAGTTGAGAAATCCTGCTGACTAGTCTTGTTTTTTTTCCCTTTCAAAGTCTAGGATCCAATCTAAACAACTACACTGCTGAACTTAAATATATGTACCTTCTCACTTACTCTCCCGATGATGAGACTCTACCTTCAGCCTAACTTTAAAACACCCCCTGGTGTTTTCAAGACTGGAAGGAAATGTAAAATCACTTGCCTGGACCTTAATGCTATGTTAATGCATGGTGTTATGTTATTAAGACAGTTATAAATTAGGATATTTGATTTATGTAGCTGTATAATGTCACAGATGAAATAGTTGTACTTCAAATGGGTATGAAATAAAACATTCTGTAATTGTACTTAGACAGTGAGACTACATGATGTAGTACATGGCAAGAAAAAAATACTCAGCCTAGTGCAGGACTAAACAGGGAGTCATCATTTAGTTCCCACAGACTTACATTATTTGAGTGTCAAGTTCTTCTGGTGTATAGAAAGTTCTCCAAGGCGGCAAAAAGAGGATTACATGTGGGAGTAGCTCATTAACTACTCATTAGAGATGCATAGTAGCCATATGTTACCCACATCAAGGTTTGTTGTGGGGAGAGAGTGTGAAGGGTTTTTTATGTTTGTTAGTTTTCTATACATTTTTCTAGGTAAAGATATTTTAATATGGACTTTTTTTGCCTACAGATTTAAAGGTTACAACTGACAGTGCATTGTAAGACAAACTTTGATTTCTTGCTCAGACTAAGCTATGTGTATTTTGTGGATTTAGACAAGTTTCATTTGTCTCAGTTTCCTTCTTCGTAATACTATCACAGGAGTTTTGAGAGGAATATTGCACGTGACCGAAAACAATTGCAATGCCTCTTCTGCAACTCTAAATTTTAATTACAAGGTCAGAAAAGTCATCTAGGAAAAGCAGTTACTGATGCATCGTATGCTTATTGACTGCCTTGTCCAGGTTAATTTTGGGGGAATATTCTAGAACACATTTGGCCATGCATTCCTCAGGAAGATAAGCTACAACAAGTTTAAAACCAGAATTTTGCTTCTGGGTCTTAAATATTTACTATAAGTCCAAGTGTCCAGTTTATGCATAACTGTCTTTAGAATCGTAAGTGCAGAAGGATCACTAAGTATAAGTGAAAGTAGAACTGTTTTGAGTAAAATTTATTTTTTTGTTGTTTTGAATAAAAAAATATGCTCAGAAATCTGGATTCCCAAGATTTGGAGAAGTTGCTGTTTGAGAAAGGCCGTGCTGGACAAATCTGTCATTCAGAGGCCATTAGAAAAGCACAGTTAATACGCACTATTTTTTAATTTTGTGATAACCTGCAATAAAACACTCAGGTTGTCGTTAAGGGGTGTTTTTTCTATACAAGGAGGAAAAAAAAGAACTATAAAGGCAGAGAGGTTATTTCTAAGTTTCATGATTTTGAAGATGTAGCTATTTTTCCTTAGGCACAAGATAAGTTAATAATGCCTATAGATGTTTCTGCACTTCTAATACACAGACATCTCTGAGTGTTTTTCTGCCAGCAATGCTTTGTTTTTTCAAACATTTCACCATAACACTGATCACAGTTAAGCAATAGCTTAGGTTCAAATACATAGAACCATAGAATCATAGAATCATTAAGGTTGGAAGAGACCTCCAAGATCATCGAGTCCAACCGTCAACCCAACACCACCATGCCCACTAAACCATGTCCCTAAGCGCCTCATCTACCCGTCTTTTAAATACTTCCAGGGATGGTGACTCAACCACTCCCCTGGGCAGCCTGGTCCAATGTTTAACCACTCTTTCAGTAGAGAAATTTTTCCTCACGTCCAATCTAAACCTCCCCTGGCACAACTTGAGGCCATTTCCTCTCGTCCTATCGCTAGTTACTTGGGAGAAGAGACCAACACCCACCTCGCTACAACCTCCTTTCAGGTAGTTGTAGAGAGCAATGAGGTCTCCCCTCAGCCTCCTTTTCTCCAGGCTAAACAACCCCAGTTCCCTCAGC